ATGTGTATGTCCACAGAGTGTCCCGCAGAGAAGCGCGCCCCATCCTGCACCACGGTCTTGTTGACCACACTTTCAAAATCGTAGTAGACATTTGTGGGATCATGTAACATGATTTGCTTAGTTTATCTTTCACTCACCAACGTTATTGAATTCATCATTTGTGCCAAACACTTTGAATGGATTCATATACATATATATATATATATATGACTTTATAGTACTTACAGCCTAGAAGTAGATCGACCAAACTGTGATATCTCTCTATTAGCTTTATTCGTCAGGCTTACAAGCACATGCAGGTGGCTGTCCACATTACAATCAGTCTCTCTCTGTGTGAGAGGGAAGCCCAGCATGCTGGAAACAGTTTTTCCTTGAACTTAAGTTCACTGTGAGAAAGAGGGATGTTTCTGCTCCCATGGAAGATCTACAGCCTCAGAAACCACGAATAGGGTCGCTGTGAGTTAGAATCGACTCCGTGGCAGTGTGTTAGCTCATTGTGAAGATCAGTTTTTTAAAACTGGCCATTGCAACACGCATAATATGCCCTCTGACAGCACACTTTTTATGCTTCTTATTCCCTATATATTTTTGTGTTAACTTCAGGGGGTTTTTTGGTTTTGTTTGTTTGTTTTGAGCAATTATATTATCCCTCAAATTTGGCCCCCGCCCCCACAACAAGTCAGCTTCAGACTGCCCAGGTGTTTTATTTCTAGTTTGATATAGACTGACTGCGATGTGAAAGAAGCTATAGTCTAGCATTTGGCTGCCAGAATCAAGACCTTGTTTCCACATTCATTTTCAGAGGAAGGGAAATAATTAAGTAGTATAAAGGAACCTTTTATTCCTACAGTCTATGGATTTAAAAAAAAATCCTAGCTTTAGAGAATATATTAAGCAAACGTTTGAAGTTGTTTTATGAATGAAACCTTATTTCATGCCCAATTTAGAATGGCTACATTCAGTCCCAAGATTATTCCCTATGGCTGTACTCTCTCATCTCGATAGAGCATGGGGATTTGTTTTTCTTCCTCAAATTCTGAATTTTAGCATCTGGCGATCCAGCTAAGATAATCAAACTCCCCTGCTGGGTCTATAAACCTTTAACGTTCTTCCTGGTGTGATACATCACGCTGATGTGCGAGCATGAAGTCAGGGGAGGCAAGTGCAACCCAGCCGCTTGTGTAATACTTTGCAAGTTCCTCTTTGCTCGCCCCCCCTGTGAAGTTCATCATCACCGTGGAAAACAGTAGGCCCCTCAGTGGTGTGAATGGTTTGTGCTCCACTAGGAACCCCATGGTGGAGGTCTGAACCCCCTCATAGGTGCCAGTGAAGAAAAGTCTGGCGATCTGCTTCAGTCAAGATCGCTCTGCTCTCACACATGGGGTCCCGATGCGACAGGGCCAACGCGACAGCAGTGGGCTTGATTTGATGGTTCACGGGAAAACTGGTTGCTCCGATCATTTCATCCTGGCATGAATTGTGAGGTCGCCATGTGTTTTTCGGCCCGGCATTGAAGACCTCGTGGGAAAGATGAAGGAGTTACATTCTTTAGTTACTTTAACCAAACTTGTCCACCTTGACCTCCAGCAGGAGACCCGGCACCGCTGCAGGGCTGCCTGTTGCAGCTGCAGACTTTGGCTGGGAATCCAGGGGCAGGAAAACCCTTTACATCATGCATCCAACTCTTTGCTCTCCCTACGCCCCCACAAGAGATTGGCCCAAAGCTCCGGGGGATAATCTGGGCAGCACACAGCATACGTTGCTTGCCAGCTAATTGTATAGCTGTTTGAATGCTTATCCTGTCTGTTTCCCATAAGAAACTTGGACAGAATGCTGGATCTTAGATTGTCTGTGTGTACTTTTGTCTGAACAAAAGATTAAGATGGTTTAAAAATATGTATGTGTGTGTGAAGCATCATGTCCGCTGAGGATTCACTTCCTTTTTAGCTACTTCATTTCAAAACTCTTGGGACTGATGGATTGCTTAAGCATTCCAATGGCTTTTAGGAAAGAATGTGTCCTTGAGGTTAAAGCCAGAACTGGGAATTCAGATTTCTGTACTTTCTTCCCAAGAGGGTCACCCAGTGACAAGTGACAAGTCGGTAAAGTATTTGGGTCTTACTTTCCCTGCCTGTGAGATGGACATAACAGGGCCGATCCCTCAGGCTGAGTTCATGCTGGTGAGCTGTTTGATACTGTGCTGGGAACCCGTTTGCTCCAGTGACCTACAAAAAATATGGGCTGGGGTGAAAGATGACCTGATTTCTATTTTTGATTTTACTGCTGACTCAATGAGAAACATATCGGTTGGCTAATCTGGCTCCGGACTTCTGTGCATTCCGGGACAAAAATGAAAGTTGTAAAACTTTATCTTTGCTGGCCATATAATGATACTGTCGGTATTAATTTCGTTCTGAACGCACACCGCCCACGTATCACATGGCTTTTGCATTGATATACTTTTCACAGAACCTTCCTGTCTCGGGCTATTTCGGGATGCCCACGCCAGCATTAATGCTAACGTACTTATTTTTAGCCAGCTCTGGGCAGTCCGGGTCTCTATCTCAGTGGGATTTCCTACATCAGAATAAAAGATAAGCTATGAAGGGAGATGACAAGTGATTGTTTGCAGTCTTATCTCTTTCTCATCAGTATTGTTATCTATATACGTGTATCCTGTTGGTATTATTGTCGGCTGATAATGCATCCATTTCAGTCACTCTTCGTTGAACAAGTCTCGGTTTGGGGATGGGTGTCTTCCCCAGCTATGGCCAGACCTGGTGCCACAGATTTACCACTGGGGGTCAAGTCCTTGCAGACAGTCTGCAGTGCGTTCTGAGCATCTGTTCTTGTGGGTACCATCCCTAGAGGCTCTTGTTCAAAAAGAGCATGCCTGACTGCAAGGTTTAATGTTCTTTAATCCCTGCATCACTTTACGTGATCCTCAAGAGTGTGATACCATCTCTTCCACATGCATTGAAATGCTGTTGGCTGGCTTCTGGCAGACACAGACAATGAAACTGCACTCGGTGTAACCCACTGGCCGCAGTCCCACGGCTAGAACCGCGCTTTTTCATGGATGAAAATGCATTAGGCATCTGTAGGCAATTGGACATCCCCTTACGGAAGGGTCGCAGGGAGGAGACCAGCCAGTCAGGGTGCAGCGTAGCAAGGATGAAACATACAGCTTTCCTCTAGTTCCTAAATGCTTCCTCCCCACCCACCATCATGATCCCATTTCTACCTTACAAATCTGGCCAGACCAGAAGATGTACACTGGTACAGATAGGAACTGGAAACACAGGGAATCCAGAGCAGATGATCCCTTCAGGACCAGTGGTGAGAGTGGTGATACTGGGAGGGTGAAGGGAAGGTGGTGTGAAAAGGGAGAACCGATTACAGGGATCTACATGTAACCTCCTCCCTGGGGGATGGACAACAAAAAAGTGGGTGAAGGGAGACGTCAAACAGTGTAAGATATGACAAAATAATCATTTGTAAATTATCAAGGGCTCATGAGGAAGGGGAGAGCGGGGAGGGAAGGGGGAAAATGAGAAGCTGATGCCAGGGGCTTAAGTGGAGAGCAAAGGTTTTGAGAATGATGAGGGCAATGAATGTACAAATGTGCTTTATACAGTTGATGTATGTATGGATTGTGATGAGTTGTATGAGCCCCTAATAAAATGATTTAAAGAAAGAAAGAAAGAAAATGCACTACGCATGTAGCTCCTCAGCACTGCCTGCAGGGGCTCTGAAAGCTAGATGCCGGGTGAAGTTCGTGCTGCCATTTCTCCTTTGTGTGGGTGGAACACTTTGAAGTGAACTCCCATTGGTAGAGTGCTTGCATATCAGCATATTTTTACTTTGAAGCAATATAACTTAGAACAAGAGGAGCCGAGCACACGCAGCCCTGCTTATAATCTCTAAGGCATCTCTGAGCTTAAAGAACCGGCAATGGTCATTTGTTCAGCGGGTAGGTTCTCCCTCATTTGCCTTGGCAGAGTGCTTTTAAGCCCACGTACTTTAATAGGCGCGCTTGGTTCCGGATCTTGATTATGAGTGATTTTATCACAGCGATCTAAATGGGTTAGAATTCCCAAAGTACTCCTTCCTCGTGTCTTTGACGTTCAGAAGAAATAAAGAACTCCCAGACTAAACCATCAGTACCTCCGTCTGCCCTGTTCTGGCCCCGTTGTATTTCCACTCGTCCCTGTGTGCTGTGCTCCCCTGCCCCAGAGCTCCATCCTCATCGCCTATCAGCTGTCAGCGTGTGTATTCCCCCACTCTCGGTGCTTCTGGTTTATCATTTGTCTTTATCCGAGAGGAGCCAGCTCAGTCATTTCTAGTGTGATGACAGTCCTGGTTAGACCTTTCTCGTATTTGAATCCTTGATACCGTTCACTAGTCAACTTTTTCTCCACAAAGGCAGCAAGCCTCTGTGTCATGCGATCGGCCCTTTGCAAAAAGCACTTCAGAACAAAGAGATATTTAGTACCCAAACTTGATTTGCTCAAGAAAGACTTTACATCTGGCCCTAAAACCCATACTAAGAACTCGGTGCCCGCCCATTTTTCCGGAAGACCTCTAAAGGCAAAGAAGATGAATGATCGGTCCACAGCATCTTCGAGCCGTGTCTGTTTGGGGGCCAGAGGATGTCATTAACGCAATGCAATTAGAATCAATTCCGTGGAAACCCACCTCCCGTGCACATCCAGGCACAAAGTCACCATCATCTGACTTCCCTAACAGAGGGGCTCGCGTGTAGTGCGTGTAAAGTGTTGTGCCAGCAGTCATGGGTGACGACTCCCAGGCCTCGGAGAACTGGCAGTCGAGAGACGCTCCTGCGGCAGGCGCTTGTTCGCAGCATCCAGTTGTAGCCATCACGGTAGGTTGGGATTTGCAATGCTAGAGGTGACTGAGGCGAGCGACTTCCTGATGGTTTCCTTCCTTTTCCGCCAGGCTGCCTCTGCCCCGCACTGACTCTGCTTTCTTTCTCTCAGGGTGAAAGAGGCCTCCCGGGTTTACAAGGGGTCATTGGGTTTCCCGGAATGCAAGGGCCCGAAGGGCCACATGGGCCACCAGGACTCAAGGTAAGACTCAATATAGACTCGGAGGGGGCAGGGGTGAGAGCGTCAGAGGATCGATATTCTTGTTACGGTCTCATTATGACATCTTAATGGCCTTTCCGTGTTCTTTCAGGGCGATGCTGGAGAACCTGGATTGCCAGGGACAAAAGGGACAAGAGTGAGTACAGTCGTTCCTTGCGTGGGAAATGAATGTGGCTGAACCCCTCGGGCAGCGTAGATCCAACGAACGCTTCGAGAGCAGAGGGGCTGTGAACCCCCTCCCTCCCTCCTCTGAACGCTCCCCAGTGGGCTAAGGCTTTTCTAGAAGGCCCTCTGTCTTTTCCTCTCCTTTCTCTGCGCTGCCTGGCCTCTCAGAAGTGGACTGAAGAGCTCCAGCCACATGGAGGGGCAGTGGGTCTGCGGGCTCACAGGGAGCAAAGGCCCCGTTCTTTCCCCACCTGAAATCCTTATGAACGGTGAGGTGCTTACGCAGCAACGCTTACTACAGCACCCACAGTGTGGGCCCATTACTGCCTCCTCATGAATCTTGTAAGGCAGGCGTTTTTTGTGTTTGTTTGTTTGTTTGTTTTTGAGGCAGGGAGATATCTACACATCAAATGATATCTATACATCATTTCAACAAAATAGATTATTTCATTCGGTGTGGAAAACAATAATATTCTCAAAGAGCAGGTGTATTTTTTTCCTCCCATCGTTTCCTTCCTTTTCCACTCCCATTTCCGGGGAAACGATCCCTTAAAAGCAAATTTAAATGTACAAAAACAAGAGCACAGCACAAGACAGTGTAAAACCAACGTGAGCATTTACATCCCATCATTGCCATCGAGTTAAAGAAAACAGCAATGGCCTGAGGGCACCAGCGTTGGCACTCGCCGGGGTCCTGGGCGCAGAAGACAGAGTGGGTAACCTTGTGATTGTATCTGGACATCCACCTGTTGGCGCAGCAGTACCCCAGCGCCTTGAAGACCATTCACGGTGTGAGCATGCGCAGAGAGAGCACGTCCCCAGCTGCGGCTGAATCAGACCAGTTCAGTCTCGGCTAACTTAGTATTTGCTAGGAGAGGACCAGGTAAGACATAACTACCTTATGTCAGGAGAAGGACCGCCCGCTGGGGATGGAGGAAACAGAGCAGTGTTTGCATGAACGTATCCTGTTTTCTGAGCCGGTGCTCGCCAACCAGAAATCACTAGGGGGGTTGAAAAAAAGAATTCCCCGAGTGAATCGATTTTATCCTATAAGCTCTTCTTCTCAATTATTTGAGATTTAAATGTTAATAATATACAGTGAACCCTCGTTTATCGCGGTTAATCGGTTCTAGACCCTACCGTGATAAATGAAATTCCGCGAAGTAGGATTCCTTATTTGTAAATCAAGTATTTTAGTAGTTAGAGCATAGAGGACATGAAAAAACACCCTTTAGTCACCATTACACTCGTATTACCCAATTTATTAAACGAAAAAGGGAAAATACAGTAAAACATTTTGGACGTTACAATTATCATTTATTATTTATTATATTATTTATGGCATCAAGCGTGTACAATATGAGCCAATCAGTGGCAGTAATGACAGAGCATGCGCTGTTACGCAAAAACCGCGATAGAGTGAAGCCGCGGAAGTCGAAGCGCGAAGTGGCGAGGGTTCACTGTACTAGGTTTTTTTAATTGTTCTTTCTGAAGCTTAGAAATGGCCAAGGATGAAATGAGAATGGGGACGTTGTGCGTGTGCAGCCTTGATGTTGGAAGGCTAGTATAGTCAGCTTCTCGTTGGAAAGCCTGGCTGAGCTGGCTCACCAACTGGCTCCTCACCGGCCTCGCCTCAGATTCTGTGTGCTCAGTGCCCACAGCAAGAGTCTGACTCCACGGCCCAGGCAGACGAGGGGCAGGAGAAGCTGCCCAAACTGCTCTGTTTAACTCTTCTACTTCCATTCCTCACAGGGACCTCCGGGAACATCCGGTTACCCAGGAAACCCGGGACTTCCTGTACGTATATAAAACAGGCTCTGCCTCCTCCTTGAAGCCTTGCATGTGAGTAATATTCTTGTCAGACAGCTTTCTATTTTGATGACGTGTTCTTTTTCTTAATTGCAGGGTATTCCTGGCCAAGATGGTCCACCAGGTCCTCAAGGTATCCCGGGATGCAACGGCACCAAGGTAAATTTAGAACCAAAATGTGTCCCCACATTGTACGTGTTTGCTTAAACTTTGCATATTCAGACGGCCGGTGAAGTCATTCCATGATCAGTTTTAGTTGTCCAAATCAGAATGTGAAGCTCTATAAGACTTTCTACTTTTGATGAAGAAATACATTTTTCTCATATGTAATGATCAGGAAAGTTAAAATCAGGCTGTGTGTGTGTGTGTGTGTGTGTGTGTGTGTGTGTGTGTGTGTAGATTTTTATCCTAAAATTTGATCCTAAAATTACTTTTAAGCACCAGATTTCATACCTATATGACTGCGTATTTCTTCATTATTAAATCAAATAAGAAAACCCTCCTTTTGATCCTTGTTCATATAAATCATGCTGTTCACTGTATTTCTTCTTTAGTGGAGGGGAACCTAGAAATAAAGCTTATAGCAAACTGTCATTAGGATGTGATTTGTAGCTCGCCACTAAACATATCCCTGGGAGCTCAGACCACGTGATGCATGCAGGTGATGGGAATGACGTTGTCACGTTGGTCTTCGGCAGTTTAAGTGGGTGATGTATGCTCTTCCCTTTAGGGCGACAGAGGGCCTCTTGGGCCTCCGGGTTCCCCTGGATACGTTGGAAATCCCGTGAGTATTGCATTGCTGTACCCAAATGTGTGTCTTCACTTCTCTCGCTTCCCCTTCTAGTGTTTGCTTGTTTGTTTGTTTGTGTGCACTTATGTGGTGGTAGGATGTTTTGCAAAAGAAAATTTCAGCACAAGAAACCAATGTTAACCTTTTCTTTTCCAGGGACCTCCAGGGCCGCAAGGAATGAAGGTACGTTCTGTTTTATAGATGAATGGTAGGGACATTGCCTAAAATGGGCCCTGGTGGCGAAGCGGTTAAGCAATTGAAGGCCAACTAAAAGATGGGTGGCTCGAATCCACCAGGCAGCCTCCAGGAGAGAGGTGTGGCAGGCTGTTTCTGTAAAGATGGCAGCCGTGGAAGAGCTGTGGGGCAGTTCTGCCCTGCCTTTGAGGGTAGCTCTGGACTGGAATGGACTCCACAGCAGTGGGTTAGCTTGGCTGCCTAACACAGAGTCCATAGCAACAAATATACTCTAGATCGCGTTCATAAACTCTGCAACGCTGTTGCATTAAAGCAGCTGGCAAGGAATACATTCAAATTTAACTTTAGCTTCTAAGGGTTGACACTAGGAAATGTCTCAATGGGAAATAGACCGTTACAGAAAGCGGATGATGATGGCACGGATTAACGGGGGCGATTCAGTCAAGGTGGTAATGACGTGCTTACCCAGTCTCAGGACGCTCCTTTCCCGGAGTCATTCTGCAGCTGCAGGGTGGCCACCTTCCTACCCTCCCAATCATGTTGTCCTTCGATTCTCAGAGTCAAAATCTTTCTCCTGTGTGCCTTGTTCTTTCCACCTAGCTCAGTCACTCGGACATTTTTCATACACATTTGTTCAGATGAAGAAACGACTCGGTTCCTGTGTTCCAACTACGACAAGACTCCCCACTCTAGTTTCAGCAGAATTGATAGCGTAACGATTCACGTTGGTAATGAAGGCAGTAGGCCTGAGTAAAGTAGACAGCCCCAGTCTCATGGATATATCCCAGCTTTTAGGCTAGTTCTATACAGTCGTGTTTGCCTGTTATTCAAAGAGTTCTCCTTGTCTTTCCATGGCTGTGAACTTTCATGACTTTGTTTTGTGCTTCTACCCCACAGGGTGAGCCAGGCCAAATACTTGGCCATGTTCCTGGGACACTGTTGAAAGGTGAACGAGGGTATCCGGGGCCTCCAGGAACACCAGTAAGCATTTGCTAGATAATTATAAGCACACCATGAATCATCTTCTACTTCGCATTTTTTTAAATTCACATTTTAATTTTTTTTCCCCCTCAATAATTTCTAGGGTTTACCTGGAATCCCAGGATTACAAGGTCCCGTCGGTCCTCCGGGATATTTGGGCCCACCAGTAAGTTTTGAGAAGTACTCTTTCTGACTCCTTCCAAGAAAAACCAGTGTTGGGTCAGGATAAGAAGAGATAAGTCAATGAAACATTTACACAGGAATGCTCTCCCAATTTGGATTCAGAAGAATAAGCGTCTTTCTTATAAAAAATATTTGGCTGGCCTCCATGCCTGGCACCCATAGTCCCGGGACTGTGTGTACAAAGATGATAATCGTGCTGCGGGAGGGCACTGCATGTCAAAATGCACCCCCATATCTAGCAAAGTCATGATTGTAGGGATGGACTGGGTACTGTGGTTTCTCGGGCCTGGAGAAGCAGAGTTAAAGATGGACAAGGCCACCTCTGGCCTGGGAGACCGTACGGAGAGCAATCGGTCAGAGCCATCTGGTGCTTGTGGGATGTCATGGCACAAATCTGGCAGCAGCTAAGGAGCCGCCTTCGCATTTTGTTATAAGGCCCTCTGAATCTGAGCATCCTGAGATGAACTTCTGATTAGACTGCTCTAGCTGCCCCACTTCACAGCCAATGATTCTCAATAGAGAGAGGGGCTCTCTCCTGCACATTCAGACATTTTTGGAGAGTCCCAGTGAGTCGATGCTAGTAAGATTCCTTCTCATATTGCTGAACATCCTCACTGTCTTTTGAGTCAATCCCAACGCCTAATGCAGCTGAGTTGTCGTACTCAGTTACCCTGAGAGTCCTCTCTAGAGATTTTCAGATCTAGCCTTTTAATTTACTCATTTTGTTTTTTAAAAAGCAATTTTTCTTCTACCCATTCGTGTAAAATAGCCTCATTTTCCATCTTTTGAATAAATGTTAACAGCTTTTTTCTATAAGTTAAGAACGACTAGTGTCTTCTTTTAAAAGCCATTTTAGAGTTCATTCTGAATGTTATTACCCTGGAAAATCTTTTAATGCACAACCACCCCATTTGAAGAACTTTTTACTCAGCCTTCTAAGGCTAAAGAGTTGAATCTAAATGGAACAATCGGAAACTCTAGGGTGGAGAGAGAGTCTGGCGATTGAATTCATCGTCTGCTAGCCTGGCAAGTTCTCACATCACTTGAAGTCCCAAGGCAGCGTCTGTGCCTGTGAGCTACTCCATCCCTGTTATTCTTCCTGGACCAACTGACGATCACTCTGAACGTTTGACGGCTCTCTAGCACAGGAAAAAACCGAAAACAAATCCCTGAATAGTTAGCAAGTAAAACATCATGGGAACCATGTAATGTTAAGATAGCTTCTGTGCAAAGAAATGTTTCAAGCAAATGAGGTTTGTGAATCATATGCAATTAACAAACTCTCTCCTCTAGGGTCCCCCAGGCCCCCCTGGCCCTCCAGGTGAAAAGGTAAAGATCCTTTAATTGTCTTTATTTAACACTAGTATACTTATACCTGTCAATTAGGGAAAATAAATAAATTGCCATATTTTTTTCTTTGCATTTTGAGAAATTGTTTTGGAAATTAATAATTCCTTTATAATCTGTGTATCTACATGCCTATCTATCTAGTCATTTATTTATCTGTCTCTTATAGATATACCTGTTCATCTATCAGTATTCATTTATACAACCTATGTTTACCTATCCATCGATATAATCTGTATTTATCTGTCCATCCATCCAACTATTCATATAATTTTTCTTGGATTGTCTTGGACGCATTGTTCTTTCTCTTGGGTTTCTAAAGCGGGAATTGAAAAGCCTTACATTTAAAAAATAGGTTGCTAAAGAATTCTATCTCTATAATCTTTTGAAGGCTTTTAAAATATGCATTAAGTACATGATACAAATTTCTTGAAAACATAATGAAATTATAAGACGGTAAGTATTGCTTAAAGTCTATTTTATTGAACTTTATGTAGATTCTGTGATATAATTTTGAACAAAATACCTCTCATGATGGAAATCCAATTTTTAATTAACAGGGGCAAATGGGCCTAGGTTTTCAAGGACCAAAAGGCGAAAAGGTGAGTGCACATTGTTTTGAAGCAGAGCATGCGAGCATGTCCATTTCTACATTTCAGTCTCGCTTCTAAGCTCATGCCTGGTAAACATAGTTCCTTGCCTCTGTGTGTTCTTTAGTTTGTTCGTATTTTTTTTCTGATGCACAGCTAGAATTTTCTGAAATGCTTTAGGTGAAATCATGACGCCTTGGTGTTTCAATGGTAACATGATCTTGCTTGAGATTCCAGTTGGATTCTCAGCCCACGGGCCTCGTAGACCCTCACCCCTCACCTCCGGTGGAGGCTGAGCAGGTTTGGGTGAACACCCTCCTGCGATTGGATAGGAAGGAAGGCTTGATGATGTGCTTCTAAAAACCAGCCCGTGAAAGTCCTGTGGATCACAGTGGCTCAATCCTTGTGCAGGAGGCCTCTCTGTCACCATGCGTGGGGCAATAGTGGCTTGCAAAAACAATACATGTGTTCTTATCAAAAGAAAATACATGTAGGTCGTTAGGTACAGTTATCTATACACAGAGTTTAATCAAAATATGCAGAGGCACTCAGAAATCCAGGCATATAATGTATTGTGTAAGAGTAAATATTAAGACTTGAATGTTGATCACATGCCTGGATTAAACCTGTCTGTGATGAAGATCATCATGCTCAGAACTAGGATAACGTAATTGACAATTAGCTCCCTCTATCCACCCAACCAGTCTTCTCAACTGAGCATAGGTCACGTCCTTAGGGGCCCGAGAAGAACAAAACCATGGACAAGAGGGGGTGCCATCAAAAAGCAAACTGGAAAGTTCTCCTAAGATTAAAGGAAAGAGTTTGATTGGAGGAATGGAAGGGTCCTGATTGGGCAATCCCTAAAGAGGATTCCACCAAATACTTCCATGTTCTGAGTGAGAAGCAAACCTTTATCTAGAAAAGTGGTGAATGAAAAAAAGATTAAAATCTTAAAAGGGAGACGTGGGCAAAACCCTGCATCTACTAGTCTTCTGAGGTGTGCTGTGCGAGCGTTCTTGTGAGCCATCTTGACAAACACGTGCTGGCAAACAGCTCACACACCATGTGCTGCATTCTCTTCATCGTTCGCTGAGGGTGGTCAAAGGGCACCCGAAGTGGCAGCTCTGAAGTAACAGCCTTCATCTTTAGGAAGTCAGAAATGGGACTTTGCACAGGCTCAATGCACCAGTGGACCTGACTTTTGCTCCTGGGCCGTCATCTTAGTCGTGGGAGGCACCTTAGGGTTAGCATCCCTCATAAAGCTCTAACGGACAGACCGTCCCCTTGAGTAAAGGACTTATCATGTGTATTTGGCTTCTGAATCTTTGCAAACATTGGTGAGAGCTTTTTTTTTTTCTCAGAAGAATACCTTAAAAAATCATTATTGTCATCACTGTTTCAGGCTGTTGAGAAAACTCTTTATTCTCTTCTCTGATTTAAGCAATAGCATTTCTCATGCCCCTTTGCACACGTATCCCAAATCAATGGCTCTGGCCTGCTTCTCTCAAAGCTCATGCTAAGCATGCGCAAAGTAGGCTCAAGTGGAGTAATGAACAAAATGGAGTCTGGCCTGCATCCTACGTAAAAACCTCAGTCATGCCGCGCACAGCACTGACTAGACCTGGCACCCTCGTGTTAGATGGAAAGGAGACTAAAGCTAGGTGTCTGATCTGGTATTGATTGGAGCAGACCAATGGAGTGGGCACTAAGGTGAGTTCTTCCACCTGTTGGCAGCCACACTTGCTGGGGCCCTAGCTTCATCTCCATTGGGGTTTGGCATGGTGGAGACGAGGGCCACCAGGTGGCACCAAAGGCAGCTTGGACCTAAGCTGGCTCTAAGTGCACCATTACAAGACCTTTCACCCTCTGATTTTGTCCCAGCCCTTTCATAAATCTCACAATCCCAAGAGTACAGTGTTCTGCAATGGAAAAATGTGCACATAACTTATGGTGTTGTAACTGGATTGCACTTTGCTTCTAATTATAACCAGCACTTAAGACGGCTGTGGAAGAAAACCCTTGATGGTCGTTTTGTTCGTGGTTTACCTGAAAATACCTTTTTTTCCGGCTAAGCTTTATTAGGCTGTTTTGGTCCCTTTACTCCATCTCATTAAATAACAATAGTACAGTATATGTGTGTCTATATACCATACTACACAAATATATATATATTGTAGAATGCACACTGTACTATATATAGACACATATGTAAGTGCATATATATATATATAGAGAGAGAGAGATTATGTATCCTATTGGTGATCAAAGGAGCCCTGGTAGCACAGTGATTGAGAGTTCAGCTTTTAACCTCAGAGTCAGTGGTTCAAAACCCCAACTATTCCATGGGAGACGGAGGAGGCAGTCTGCTTTCCATCAAGATTCTGACCTTGGGAACCCTGTGTGGTTGGTATGCTCTGAAATACACTTGACAGGAGTGGGTTTCGTTCGTACCGCTTGTTGTTTGTAGATACTCAGATGCCATTCTTCCTAAGTCCTGATGGCTGCCAGCTGTTCCCTAGCTCCTTAGAGATGACGTTAGTATTTTGTGTACCATCTTTCTACTGACAGATACTTTTCTTTTTTTTATCATTTTATTAGGGCCTCATACAACTCTTACCACAATCCATACATACATCAATAAAGCACATTTGTACATTCTTTGCCCTCATCATTCTCAAAACATCTGCTCTCCACTTAAGCCCCTGACATCAGCTCCTCATCTTTTCCCCTCCCTCTCTGCTTCCCCCTCCCTCATGAACCCTAGATAATTTATAAATTATTATTTTGTCATATCTTGCACTGTCCGACGTCTTCCTTCACCCACTTTTCTGTTGTCTGCTCCCCAGGGCGGGGGTTATTTGTAGATCCCTGTAATCGGTTCCCCCTTTCCACACCACCTTCCCTTCACCCTCCCAGTATCGCCACTCTCACTACTGGTCCTGAAGGGATCATCTGCTCTGGATTCCCTGCGTTTCCAGTTCCTCTCTGTACCAGTGTACATCCACTGGTCTAGCCAGATTTGTAAGGTAGAATTGGATCATGATAGTGGTAGTGGAGGAGGAAGCATTTAGTTAAGCATCTAGTTCTTAAACTAGAGGAAAGTTGTGTGTTTTATCGTTGCTACACTGCATCCTGACTGACTGACATTTACTTTTCTGTAGAGACAAACTGCAGATTAGAATAGAAGAGCATATGATCACATTTTAAAAATGTCATTTGATTTTAGGTTTTATCTTAAGTCTTTTCCTGCTCTGCATATTTCTTCTCTAGGTGATTATTTCTGTGCCTAATCAGTTTCTGATGATTGCATCCACAGGGGGATCGGGGCGTCAGTGGACCTCCGGGAGAACCAGGACAAGCTCAAGTTCAACCGAAAGGAGACTTTGCTACAAAGGGAGAAAAGGTCTGGCAGGATTTTGTCCACTGAATACTGGCTTTATAGTTTTGGAAAAATCCCACAGGATAAAGATTAGCCAGGTCAAGATCAGTGCCCCATGGAAGTCCATCCTGAGCAAGAAAACTAATAGGTAGAATATTAAGTCCCTTGAAATAGGAGCAGTTCTGAGAGCAAGTTATTTGTCTGACTCAACTAAAATCTTCTTAAACGTATTCAAATTTGAGGATAGGACTGGGTTAGCTGGAAGGGACAACTTAAAGGTAGAAGAGAGGTTATGGTCTGCCTAGGTCAGTTATAATTAAGCCTGCCCTTGAACCTGGGAGTTAGGCACTGGGTTGAGGCAGTGGGTTAGGCACTTGGCTGCTAGCCAACAGGTAGCAGCTGCTTTGCAGAGGTAGATGAGATTTTCTACGCCTGGAAAGAGCTCCAGTCTCAGAAACTCACAAGGGCAGTTCTACTCCGTCCTCTAGGGCGGCGACAGTACGGTTCTTGGTTTTGGTTCTTAAACCCACAACCCAGTCAGTGCCAGGAACTGAAACGTACAAACAAAACAAAGAGGGGAATTTGTTAATACAAGGTGGATTTAAAAAGGATTTGTTGCGATTAATTTTTTGAGGCCGCCTAGTGCATCAGAAACTAGTCCCTCCCTCATTTCCCTGTGCAAGCTAGCACATTAGAGACAATTATCTATCTGTTAGACCCCATCACTTCTGGGGTCCTGGCCTGATCCAGAGAGCCTGCAAAACAGATACCAATACTTTATCCTGGCTTCCGGGCCATGGCACCAAAGTTTCAATTACCAGGAGGATGTTGAGTATTTGTCTTTTTGTTTTGTTTTTCTAAAAAACAAGGGGCAGGGGGTGATAGGCCAAATAAATTTGGGAACCTATGTGTTAAGCAATTTATAATTTTTTTTTTTCTTTTAACTGATTTTTTTTCCTTGTGACTCTTGTAGGGTCAAAAGGGTGAAATTGGATATCCGGTAAGTTCAAAATCATTATCATAATTATTTTTATGAAAGACCACGGGGGCGTTAGGTTTAACTTAGTGGCTTACTTCAGTGTGTTTGAATAATTACCTACTTTAATATTCAACCTACTTTTTTCTCTTTGGTTCTTTTTAGGGGATGCCTGGGGCTGGCGAGAAAGGGGAACCCGGGAAACCAGGCCCCCGTGTAAGTCCTGTCAGACGTCCTTGTAGTCCTTCTCGGGCCGCCATGGTTCTCTCGTGCGTAGAATCGCACACTCTTTGAAAGAAGGCTGTGGCACCTCTAGGAATGTGTGGCTTCGGGCTCATCCCTTTCACGCACAGGAAGGCTTCTCTGAAATCCTTGTTAAGGCAGAAATACAAAGAACCATCTTCCTCACCAAGGAGTCCTTGGTCCATACCAATGGTTACCTCCCTTGGCCGCTCACTGTAGGGTGGGGGATTTGAGTTTACCCAGAAGCACCTTGGAAGAAAATCCTGGCAATCTACTTTGAACAAAATCAGCCCTGGGACCACAAGGAGGCCAGTTCTACTGAGGGGCCAGGGAAACTAGCAACACCATTGGAAAGGCCTCCGGGGAAGGCAATGAAGACCTTTGTTACTCAGCTTAGCTCACTGTGAAGGTGAGGCAGTTGTGGTGTGACAAGGAGGCTCTTAGCAGTAGTGTCTGCCCCCTAGCCTTGAGTAAAGGTACTAACAGGGCTAGAACAGGACCAGGTGAGATGCCTTTTCTGCTGTCCTCCCTGTAGCACTGAGGTTTTCTACATACACACACACCCAAAAAAGGGAGACCTGTTTCAAAGTACACTTGTCTAGGAATAGTGGAAGAAGTACCCAGAACACTGTATTAACTTCCAGTGGCCTGAGACATGTATGGATTCTCCCTTGAAATAAAGAGCCCTCATAGAAGGGCAGTGGTATTTCAAGGGTAGCATGTAGCAGAGTTGGGTTCAATTTCCAGCCAACGCACTTTAAAGTGTAGCCACCACTCAATTCTCAGTGGAGATTGCCCATTGCTCTGATTTGGAACATAGTTTTCAGCAAAACTTCCAGACTCAGACAGACTAGGAAGAACGGATTGATGATCTACTTCCAAAGATCAACCAGTGCACCTGTGAACCATAGTGGTCCACTAGTAGAGTGCATGGACCACCATGAGTTGGGGGCAGTTCAGTGACTGCTAACAACAACTCCACATCAGCATATGGAAACCTTGCTTAAAGCAAATCATTTGCATACCCAATTCAATTGGCCAACAGGAACATTTCTCTATTAGCGATGGCGCCACAATGTCGTAGAGACCTTTGAAGGTGTAGTGTCTGATGAGATTACATTTTTAATTGAAAAGTCCTCTTGTAATATAACTCTTTTACAGTTTTTCATTGTATAAAAAAACATATCCCCCAGTGTTATGGTTATACTGTCAACTTAACGGGCTCTTTGTTTTTCATGCTTCTGGTGGTTTCTTAAGAAATATGACGTTTTACCTTGTCTATGAACCACAGTGTTGGTGTTACAGCATATTTATTATTATTATTTACTAAATGCCAATGGTTAAATCTCTACTATTCAGGGAAAACCTGGAAAGGATGGTGAAAAAGGAGAAACAGGGAGTCCAGTAAGTAGTCCACTGCACTTTTTAAAGTAATTTCAATGAAAAGTAATCGAATCGCTACCTTCCTCTGTGTACGATGCTCAGACTTCTCCTCTTCCTTTCTAGGGTTTGCCCGGTGAATCAGGCTTCCCAGGACTTTCTGGCCAACCGGGTTTAAAGGTAATGGTGATAATATATTGACTTTTAAACCTTCATTTTGAAGCTAAATTTGGAAGTTGGTGTATTCCTAGAATAAGGGGCTCAAATGAGAAAAAAAAAGATCTATTTGAGAAATAAAAAATAACGCAGTGGTTTTAATTGTGTGTGGCTTCTTAAAAGATATATACAATTTTATAGTCTTTGATGTGTTTAGTCTTAGAGATCGTAGATTACTTTTCTCCTTCTTATAAAGCAGCCAGGCACGCAGAGCAGGGCCGGGAAGAACATAAAGCCTTCCCTTCGTCTGCCATCCACTCAGGAGTAGAGTGACTGTTTGTCTCGAATGTAACCTTAGACATTGACTTCGAAGTTGTAGATTGACTTAGACCTCATTTCTGTGAGTACTACATGTAGAAATTGCAAGCTTTTGTGTAATTTTATTTCATTGTGGTGATGAAGACCCTGCCAAGCGCTGATTCCGCTTCTGTAACAGATGGTTCCGTGTGACACCGCTCTGCGTGGCTGGAGAGGTGGAAAAGTGCAAGTGGGACGGATTTCAGCGCTGCTATGGCGGCACATCCGGGCTAGTTTCCAATTAAAAATGAGGAGAAAAAGATACTGTGGACGTGCTCTGAAGGAGGTCACGCTCAACAGAACAGATGCTGCAAGCTCATTTTAAAATGATGAATTAGCTTCTAAAGCATGCCTGGTAGAAGTCTCCCATTGCCATAGATAGAAATGAAAGGTATCACACAAAGGAGAGAGCAAAGCAATTTCAATGTCTGGTGTACATAGGCTTATTTTTTCAGAAAAAGAAAAGCCCAAGCCTGCATGCTGCAGGGAGAGTTGTCTGTGTAAGGAAATGATACAAGTCGAATGCTTTTTTTCTTCTTCTGTAGGGAGACAAAGGTGAAGCCGGCCCCCCAGGCCCGCCTGGCATCGTAAGTCAGCGCTCATTGGTCTGTGAGAGCTTTGGGAAGGAGGGAAGAAAGGAGCCGGGCTGCTCGGGACATCTCACCAGCTCTTGGCCCCCTTTCCTAGAGCTGCATTTCTCTGTCAAGGGGATCCATGTGGTGGGAAATTATTATTTTGAACTGTGTAGTTTGATATTTGCTATTTATGACTTTAAAATATTTTTAAAGTACCTTTATTTCCATGAAAATAGAACATTTCCATATGGCTAAGAATATTAGCAACACTTTTTTCCCCTTAATGATCCATTGAAAGTTGTCCATAAGAGAAAGAAACCATCTATAATTTGAGTACCATAGCAAACCAAGGTTTATTTTTACAAATAATATTGTATGGCATATGTGAAACCAGCATATGTAGCATTTTTTTCTTTCCAAAAATACATTCTATTTTTTTTTGGAAATTATATTCCTAGTATTCCATTTTTTTAACATCCTGTCATAGTGATGTTCCTTAATAGTTTTAGCAATTTTGCCTCAAATGCTTTGAAAAAGTGATCATGTTACCATTCTCTTGTTGGCTAACATTCATGGAAATGTGTTTTGGTGAATATGTTTGTACATGTTAGTTAGTTTTCTTTGTGTTTATTTGTGAGGAGATTTGAATCATTTTTGCTTCAGTGACATACTCATAAATCAGATTATTGTATCAAAGCATTGACCCTTCTTAAATGCTTTTAGTCCTGTACATGCCGATTGCATATTTGTGGGGCCACCAGCAGCATTTAATTACCCCTGCTTACCTTAACCTCATCAGCACAAACTGCTAGTATTTCAATAATATCTTCTCATTTAATTGATAAAAAGGAATTATACTTTAAAGGCCAGTTAGGCAACTTGCAATATTGGACTTCGTTGTTTCCTTGAATTCACCAATGTCAAACTTGGGTGACATCTGCAACACACTCTTCTTGCACTACTCCTTGACTTTTACAAAAAATAGCTCAACTCTGACCATTAAAAACAAAACAAAAAAGCTTCTTCTAATAAAAATGTTTCAATGCTCCTGTTACATGTTGCCTGAGGACATTTAAAAGGCGTTTCCCTGGAAAATATCGTTTAAGGTAGAATACTCGTTTTATGGCTTCTGTGTACATTTAACAAGTCCAAAAAACGAGCTCCAAAATTAATATTATTGTACCATAATGCACTAGCGTACTAGGTGAAACGCTGCCAGGCGGACTCATAGGAAAGGAAGCAAAATTGCCCGGCCAGTTTCGCTGCAAAGAGGGCGTTTCAGAAGATGCATTAGCTTTGCTTTCAAGACGATTTCTCATATTCCCCGTCCTTTCCACGTCCACGCTCCTTGGGGTCAAGAGAATGGGTTAAGTTTCGTGCTCTCTGTGCTAGACCCCTTCCAGCCACGCCTGTGCCCTGCAGTGTTCGTTCCTTCTCAAACGTAGGTCATCGGCACAGGACCACTTGGAGAAAAGGGAGAAAGAGGTTCCCCAGGAATCCCAGGGAACAGAGGGCTGCCAGGTCCCAAAGGTACGGCGTTTTACCCGCTCCCTTCTCCCTCCTCTCTTTTCCATTCCTCTTTTCTTTGCTTTTCTTCCTTCCTTCCCTTTTCCCTTCTCCTTCCCACCCCACCCATCCCTACCCCACCCCATCCCATCCCATCCCAACCCTTTCCCACCCCACCTCATCCCATCCCATCCCCACCCCACCTCATCCCACTCCACCCCATCTCACCTCTCTCCTATTTTTGACCTGCACTCATGCATATTTTCAAAACATCACATGTGGCTTGCAGGACTGTTAGGTGACCAAGTCTTGTTCCAGGTGAGACTTCAGCGTCACATCAAGGGAGCCCTGGCCCTGCTCACTGTGACCCTCCAGGAGCATGGAAGTTGCATGAGAGAGGCTCGGATCACTTCCAGTTCATGTTCCTATGTGCCTTTGAAGCACGGGTGCTTACCAGCACCCTGGGCGAGATTTGTAGCAAAGAAAGAGAAAGTATAACCGAGGGAGTCACCCAGTCTCCGTTTGTCTAACTCCCTTTCTCTTTTTTCAGGTTTCCCAGGAACACAAGGTCCACCAGGCCCTCCAGGTACCAATCCTTCACTCTTTTCTTTAGGCCATTTGTGTAACTTCTCTCTGGTTAATGTTTGAGCATGTGTGTAATCCTGTGCAGTAGAAACATTGGCTGCAAATAGCTAGCGTTGTTACTGCACATTATTCTAGAAGGAAAGCTGGATGCATGGTAGAGAGGTTGGCATGTGGTATTTCACAAGTTGTCGATTTACCGTGTCCTTAATAAGCATGGACGAGGACACCCTTTCATCTCTCTCTTGAAGTCACAACTGCTCTTGAGCTCCCATGGTCTCAGTGGACTTTGGAGGGTGGTTCTCGGTTGCCACCCCAGACAGTCCCCTCCATCCGTCCAGGGTCCTCCTGGTCATAGTGCAGATGCCTCACTGTGCTTACACTTTTCCCTCTCGGGAGGGAGCTCAGCACGAACCCTCTTCACCTCTGTCCTCGCTCCTTTCCGGAACCCCACACCGGCATCCAACACTCTCTCTGTAATCTCTCTGTCATTGTTTCATGCACGCCCAGTACGTGCTTCTGATAGACGGACCCTTTTGGTGGCTCGCAGAGTACACACAGCCGCACGTGTGTGCATGCGTGTGGAGTGTGTGCACGGATGCTGTCTCGCAGCTCCTAGAGCAGCCACAGTGAGCAGTCTGATAGGGGGTCCCCGTGCCCCGGAACAGCTGGTGGCACCACGCTGCTCTTAGAGGGCAACTGTTTCAGCACTTTTCCTCTCGCTGATGTTACACACCACTCACCTCTCTGCCCACCGGCCTTCTCCTCAGATTATATCAAACTTCCAACAACGACTTTTCAAATTCTATCCCCTAACCGATAACTATTAAGCAAAATTTTTTTAATGAAAATTGGTCTAGCAAGAGGATTCTCCCTTGCCGGGACCCCTGTCTTCTGTTCAGATCAGCTGCTTCACACCCTCTGCTCCTATACTGCAGTCGCTGAACCTGACTCCCGAGCTGCTGACTGCTGGGTGGCCTCTTAGGTAACCAGGCCTTTCTCTGCTTCATTAGAGGTGTGCTCTCTTCTCACCTGCTCCTTACTGGGCTCCTGGGTATTTGGCGAAAGCCAATATGGATACCGTTCGATTCTTTATTTTTAAAAAATTTTAAACAGTTTTATTGACCTGTAATCCACACATCATACAGTTCAGTGGTCCAGTCCTATGAAAAAGAGTTGCACATGGAGTTAGCCATTCTAAACTTTCTCACCAATGATTCCAGTGACATGCCTTCATATCTGTTCATTTTCCTTGAGAACTTCCGTCTTTTAATCTCTGGTAACCCACTGCAAAGGTCTTTGCTTACTTTCTTCCCTCTTCCCCAAATCTGTTCTTTATTTGCATCATTGTTTTTTCCCTTCTTTACAACCCAAATCCTGCCTCGTCCCTCATTTTTTTTTAGCATAACCTTTTATTTGTGTGGATTTAAACTTTGCATTGTAATCATTTACTTAAGATTGTGGTCTGGTTTAAGGCTTCCCTGCGCCAGGACGGCCCGGTGCTCCTGGCATCCCTGGCAATAGAGGAGAAAAGGGTGACCAAGGATTTCCAGGTTTGTCTTTACCTGGACCAAGTGGAAGAGATGGAATCCAAGGTCCTCCTGGACCCCCTGGGCCCCCTGGACAGCCAGGCCATACAAGTAAGTTTCCTCTGGGATTGTTTGACAGCACAACATTGCATGATTGTGGAGCACATGGCCTTCTCCAGGGGTTGGTCCTTGGGTGGAGCATATGGTTTGACATAGGTTGCTTGGTGATTCAAATCTGGCAATCTGCTACCATGAAGGTTCCAGCCCAGAAACCGCTGTAGTTCAGAAGGGATTCTCTGGCAGGGGGTGTGGTTTGGTACTATGTGTCCAGCACCTTTGGAGGAGTCACATCAGGGACGATTGAGACCTGTTCAAAACCTGTTGCCCTTGTAGAGCATGCGCAGTGTGCTAAGGAGCAAGGCAGACACGATTAAGTAAGGAAACTAGGAGCTACTTAGGAGTTGGTAAGCGCTATCGATAAAAATAAATCACACTCGATCTGCAGCCCCCAAATCGACAAGTCTATAGGAGAAACAATCGGGCTGGTAAGGTGTACGTTCCTTAGAATAATCGGCCCTTCGAGGTCAAAAGAGCAGCGTTTGCTTAAAGAAAAAGTTTAGAAAGATCAAGGAAGATGGATAAGCCTAGCTGCTTTTCTGGATTTTGCCTTAAAAACTATTTATCAGAAGGAGATGGGTGGGATCACCAAGACAGTGACCCTTCAGGTCTGGAGTGGAACACAATTAAAGTGAAAAGGTCAACATGTCCCTAGTGCACAATACAAAGTGTGAGTCAGCAAATCACAGAACACCACCTTTCCCAGGCTGAGCAGGAATTGTCCGCTAGAGACCTCGGACTATCCACCATCCCCATCATCCAGGCGGCCCTTTGCAGTTCGTGTCAAGTCAGGAATCCACCATGACAGAGTCCTGAGTGGTCATTTACCAGCGAAAACTGTTTTTGCAGTTACAGTCTATGTTCAAAGAGGTCCTAATTCACCTTAAAATTACTTACGACCTGCGGCCCCGTCAGTAGCTCATTCGCCATTCGTAGGTTCAGTGCTTCCGGGTTGATTTCCAAACCCTCCCTCTGCTACTGTCATCTCCCTCCTTGTGGGCCCAGCCATCCCACGCCATCTGGGACGGGAGCTCTCTGCATGACCAGACACCGTAAAACATGGACCCGAGGCTTTGGGGCAGAGCTCCACAGCAAGGCGATTTACAGTGGATCCCCTAGAGGTCATTTCATCCTGGTTGAGGTGAAGCTAGCAGGAGAGTGTTCTGGAAAAAAGACATTCATATTTTTGCATATATATGTATATATATGTGTGTGTGTGTGTACACATACCCACATCAGGGGCGCACACACACATACACACGTACATACACTTAGATAGCTATGTATAATTGTGTGTGTGTGTGTGTGTGTTTGTTAGCCCTGGTGATGCTATCAGGTAAGCATTGGACTCTAATCACAAGGGTGGTAGTTCAAACCCACTAGCCACTCCAGGAGAGAAAGTTGGGGCTCTCGACTCCTGTAAGGACTTTCCACCTGTGTATAAGTCACTGTGAGTTAGAATGGCCTCCATGGTTGCGAGTCTGAGTAAATAAATAAATATACACATAAATGAGACCATGGTGGTGCAGTGCCAAGAGCTTCACTGCCAGCAGACAGGTAGGTTGGTGGTTCGAATCTACCCAGCAGCTCTACTGGAGACTGCCAGCAAACAAGCAAACCTATGGCCATTGACTCAAATTCCTAGGAAACCTTCTGGGGCAGTTCTCCTCTGGAGGACACACAGCTGTGAACATATGTGTGTAGGTGTGTGTGTGTGTATGTGTGTGTGTGTGTGTGTTTGAGAGGGGGAGAGGGCGATCCCTGGTGGCGTAATGGTTATACATTGGTCTACTAACCACAAGGTCAGCAGTTTGAAACCACCAGCTGTTCCTTGGGAGAAAGATGGGGTGGGGCCTTGGGGTGGGTGTTCTACTCCCATAAAGAGTTTCTGTGTCAGAAACCCTCAGGGGCAGTTCTACCCTGACGTGTAGGGTCACTCGTAGTCAACATGAACTCGATAGCAGTGAGTTTGGTTTTATTTGGGGGGGGGAAATGTTCATTGTTATACAGAGAGATATATTCCAGTGTTCATTAACTTATATTTCCAGAAACAATGTTGGTTCTATATAGCCAAAAAATTTAGGGACTGGTTTTTGAAGTGTGAAAATCAACTCCACATTGCCCCTGCTGATCAGTCTCTGTTGAGCACAGGTGGGAGGATCCAAAGCCCTGCCGAGTAGGGAGATAGTTATCTTCCTGCCTTCGCTTTGGGGTGAAATTCGTTGAAAAATCAATAAGCAACAAGCACACAAAACAAGGAAGCTTTCCCCTCAGACTGCAAGTCTTACACTTTTGAAAGTAACTGTTTCCACCGAACTCAAAGCAAAGTCATGAAAGAAGGGTGTTCTTGCTTTTATCTTTAAGATGCCCTCAGTCAGAAGAAAGCGGCTGCCATTGCCCACTTGATACAGGGGCCTGAGCTGGAACTCACAGGCAGAATCTAGGTCCGTGGTAGAGAGGTCTTGGGGAATCTTCCAGGGTCTGTAGCAGCCTCTGTGGTTTTCTTCTCTCGATAATCATCAGGAGAACAGAGTAAAAGGGAAGACGAAGCTTGAGCTCTAAGACTCGCGGATGTTTGGGCTGTGCTCACGATGGGAATGCTGGAGGCAAAGACAGCTGTACGATTGCTCACTACCATGATAGCCCAAACTACCACTGCTACTTGTGTTAAGTTGCTTCCAATGACAGAGATCCTGTGGGTGTGTACCAGGGTAGAATTATACTCCACTGGGTTTTGAAAGGCTGGCTCTCTCTCTTTGTTTGTTTTAGAAATAGATTGCCCAGTCTGTCTCTCATGGCAGCTGCTTCAGTGGACTTGAAACTCTGTTGTTTTAGTTAGCAGCCTGTTTGCACTACTCAGGAACGCTTATTTTTCTTAGAAAAAAATTCCAAAATTAAAAATATAAATTTAACAAAAATCTATATCTGGAACATAATATAGTAGTACTTAAACTAGTTAACCACAAGAGATGGTGCTGGTATTACCGTTACATATTTTTATGCCCTGCTTCATAATGATACTCAGAATTGATTATGAATTAGAAGAATCCCCTACCCCCACCCTCAGGGGACAAACAACAGAAATGTGGGCAAAGGGGGACAGTGGATGGTATGAGATATGAAAATAAATTTTTTAAAGATATGAAAATAATAATAATTTGTAATTTAGCAGGAGTCCATGAGGGTTGAGGGTGGGGGGCAGAGGAAACAATGGAGCTGATACCAAGAGCTCAAGCAGAAAGAAAATGTTTTGAAAATGATGATGGCAATATATGTACAAGTGAGTTGGATACAATTGATGTACAGATTGTTATAAGAGCTGTAAGAGCCCCCAATAAAATGATTAATAATAATAATGTTTAAGAAACCTAGGAGGCTCTTCCCATGAATAGTCTGCTTCTCCCAAATAATGAACTTTTTTTTTTCTGATAATGTGCTTAGAAAATAAAGCAGGAATACATTTGTTCAAGTCTCAGCTTTGACTTTACCAGATGTATGGCCTGGACAGATCATTGAGCTTTGTTTTCGGCATTCTAATGTTCGAATTCTGAGCTCTATCCAATAAACCGTTTAATTTTTGAGCCTTGGTTTCTTCATCTGTAACATAAGGATGATTTCAGGCTACTTTGTGGTGCAAAATGAAACAAAGCGCAAGGAAAGGTGTTATGCACTGAAGAGTGCTCTAGCACTGTAACACCAGAATTCAAGTAGCAGTTGCTTATGATGGTGAGTGGCTAATGTGACATCAGTTGAGTGTGCTTCCCAAGGGAATATTGTAGGATCATGTTGACGCCAACTAAAATAGCATTGTTAGGACTTCTTACATAGTCTGAAATACTTGTTATAAGAATAGAAATTGAATGATGAAGATGCTAATATCTGATTTCACTCTAGTGTGTGTGGGGGGGTGATCTTAAGGTTTTTTAAATGAATTTCAGATGGAATTGTGGAATGCCAGCAGGGACCACCAGGTGATCGGGGTCCTCCTGGAAGTCCAGGGAACCAAGGCTTTACTGGGGAAATTGGAGAGAAAGGTAAGCAATTTTACTTTCTTGTTTTTTTGCATGTTACTATTGTTTCTTAAGAGTGGTTTCTTTGTGTGTGTTGTACCCTTCCCCATACTGGCTGGTGTGGGAATGGGATTAGAGTGGGCTCAGGTACATCCTCTCTTCATTTGGAATGGCCTTCAAAACCCATTCCTAGAATAATTGTTGCCCTCCATTTCTGTTGTTGGAGTTCTAACCTGTGAGCTCTTGAGGGGGAGTTCTCTGTCATCTGGGAGGGAAGTGTGTGGGTAATGCTTTGAAGTTAGAGCCTTTGCTCTCCCCCACTTTCATAGGCTACAAAGGCAGGCTTTCCAATGTAGTTCTGGTCCGCAGGCTAAACTCACAGTCAGATCCTGATCTTGCCGCAATATTTCAGTTCAGAATTGGAGAGTTCTGCCCTCGAAGAATGAATGTTTTCCTTCAGACCAATCCCCACTCTGTTCCCAGCATTCGGAATTCCCACTCATACTCAGGCCATGTTTGGGTAATCATTGTGAGCCAATCTTCGGCTCAGGGAGCTAGCACCGACCCTTGGCTCTGAATCTTATCTTTAATCTTTGCAAGTGTTTACTGCAATACCAGCACAGGGAATAACATATTTATCTCTTTAGCAATCCTGGAGAGAGAGTTGGATTAGTACTGCATCCATAGTCCTGCCTTAGAGTACAATAAATAATGGATATTTTAATATATATATGTTTATTAATATCCCAAGAGCAGCTCCATTGTGTATTCATTACTGCCCTTAGATTGTAACTCATTTTGGGCCCTCAAAATCTAAACTACAAATGGAAAACAATTTCAATTAAGATCTTAGAACTCAACTGACATCTTAGATGGGAGTGAACTTGGAAGACCTCAGAAGGTTGCCGCCAATGAGAGTCCACTTTTCACGTGTTTCGCTTTTGTTTTTCATGGCTTGCTCCAGCTCCCAGGTGTTATACTCCCAGTGATGAACTATATTCCTCTGGCCCGATAACAGTTTGTTCAAGCATCTCTCTACCCACTTGTAGCTTTGGGACCAGAAGTACTTACGGGACCCCAGGGACCCAGAATGTACCAGTGCTGCTCCCTGAAAGCATACAAGTGAAAAAAGGGTGCCCCTGCCCCCATTTTGGTAGCATGAAGCTACCGTTGTTGGTCCTGTTTCTGTTTACATCAATTGAGCCCACAGTCACAGTACCTAGGGCCAGGAGGCAGCCAGTGAGAGAGGAAAGGGGAAGGCTGATGAAGGTGAACTTCCTTGACTCCCGACTCCCCTTGATGATTTTTTCCTAGGACCATTTTGTTCTGTCCTATGTCTGATTTGTGTCTAGAAACCAGCTTTTTAAAACATGTCAGTCACCAGAAAAGTCTAGGTTGAGCAGCAAGATAAGCGATGTGAGAATTCCCAAAGAACTAGTCTCAGACTGAGTTTGTGGATTGCTTTTTGTGTGTTGGTTGGTTTGTTTTGAGCAGACCCAGGTGGAAGGTTAGGATTCGCCTTGCCAGGGCAATAGCTGTCACATGGGAAGCTTGCTGAAGGCAGCCGCCTGTTCAGTGACCTCCAGAAGAAGGGCGGCTAGCCAGGGCGGCGGGGTCAGCCCAGGAGCATGTGGAGCCATGGGAGGTGGTGCTGGATGATAGGGAAAGATCACTTTAATAGAGCACGATGAGTCACAGCCTTCTTTGACCGCTTCTTTGCTGTCAGCAGAGACTCTCGCCATATGCCCTCCGTAAGATCGCCATGCTTCCTTTTCTAGGTCAGAAAGGAGCGAGCTGTGTGGAGTGTGTTGGCGGAGGAATCCAGGGGCCTCCAGGGCCACAGGGGCCCGCAGGAGAAATAGGTAAGATCAGACAATGGGAAAAGGGTCAAGTCAAAGTGGCCTTCAGTGAGTCTGCACCTTTGCAATGAAATATACCGTAGCCGTACCGGATCTATTCTGAGACTTGACTTTCTACATTGAAAACCAAAGCCTACGTGTGAGAATTGTAATCCATCTGAGTGAACATGATTGAAAATGATCAAAATTGGCCTCTAATTTGGGGGTGATAAAAATTACCTATTATCAGGATTGCCACACACGTGCGCCCTTGGCTCCGTAAATGGTAGCGCTCCTTGAAGCAGTCAGCAGGATGCTTTACCTTCAAGGGGTCTATGGTGGGAGGAGGCTTGTAGCCACTTCTGCATCTGCGCTATTTACATGCATTTCCTTTTCCGAACCCACCCTGGGGTGTTTGAGCTCCTACTTTCGTGAGACGTTTCAATCGTCTATCCACTTTGTATGAAGACCTTTACACTGTGGGATCTTGAAAAAAATTGGGGGGGGGGGGATCGAATTCTTAGGAAGTGTTTGTAAATGATGTGCTACACCTTTTCCTCCCCACACCCTTCTCTTCTGAAAGGTTTCCCAGGACAGCCCGGGCCCAAGGGGGACAGAGGCACACCTGGAAGGGACGGGCTGGAGGGGATGCCGGTGAGTACACCTGTTTGCGTTCACATACTGGGTAGCAGTTATAAACCAAAGTTAGATTTTTTTTCATTTGTGGGGGAACATAATGGCTTGGGACTTGTCTGGGGGCTGGGAAATTATTGTTTGTGCCTGCAGTCCTTCATTACTGCAGCATTCGACAGGCAGTGCAGTTGGAACAGAGAATGAACTTGAAACTGACCCCTATGGAGCCCACGGCAGCCCCTCGGAGAATGGGCGGGGTCTTGACCCACCCAATGTGTGGCTTGATTGCTCTGCTTCTCACGTGGTCAGAGTTCACCTGGTGGCAGTTTCTCTCTGTCTGGGGCAGCCGGTTAGCGGCGTGTCACCTTCCTGTGGGGTCCCTGTGATTTCTTGGAGTAAAGGGTGTCACCAAGACTC